ACTAACGAAGTAATAAAAACAACAGCAACATCCTTCTTCCTCGGCCTGATCTTCTCCCTCTTCCCCTACGACTACCCGATCCTATGGTCCACGACCCCGACCCCAGCCACCCACTTCGACTACTTCGAATCCCACCTGCGATTCCTGCACGCCTCGCCGCCCCTAATCCCGCGGATTCTCCACATCGTGATATTCCTCGGCCTCTTGGGACTTATCATGAAGCTGTACAAACCCTCGGAATCGAATATGTTGTTCGATGGCGCCAGTCTCGTGCTGTATATGTGTGGAATTACGGTCTATATTGCGAATATTGTGAAGGGGTTGAGGTTGGTTAGTGGTGGGGTTTATGGGGATGAGTTGGTCAAAGGTGGGGAGGAGGAGGTCGAGCAAGGGCAGATTCTGGGTAGGGAGGATAGTTTGAAGGTGTTGGCGGCGAGTAATACTATCTTGGCGCTGGTGTTGGTGGGTGTGCTGGTGTTGCAGGCCGGGCAGTGGTATGCGGAGAGGAAGGAGGCGCAGGAGGTGGAGAGTTTTGCTTCTTCGAGTTCGAAGGGGAAGAAGGAGGAGGGGAGTGAGGGGGGGAAGAAGAAGAAGAATTGATTTCTTAGGGTGGGAAAAGTGTGCTGGTGGTAGTGGTGGTGGGTGGGGGTTGTTTAGTTTGGTGAGAGTTGTGAGGTTGAAGATTGTTTGTATGGTATGAGGTTTAGCTACTATTGTGAGAAAATTGCAGTTTCAATCACAGGTATCATCTATGTACAGCATAGGTATCAGTTATATCAGTATCAGTAATGCACAGTCATCCAATCCATCATCAATGCAAGTTGTTACAGCCCTTCACATATGCAGCCCCTCCGGTCGGAATGAGAATGGACTCCGCGGCAGGTCGGGCGTCCGCGGGCTTAGCGCTTTTGCGAATAGTTCCTCGCCCGAGTCGGCGCTCGCTGTGCGCGCCAGCCCTCCCATCGATGCGAATCCCGTGTGGTGTTCCACGTTCTGCTGTGCCTGCACCGACTCGGGGGGATAGTGCACTACCGTTCGAAGGGCCTCTGGCGCTGCTGGCGCAGGACTGCGGGTCGGTCGATGTATACTGTGGAAGGAGTTGAACGAGGAGACTGCCACGTCGGGGGACTGGGGAGATAGTAGATGCCGCGCTGAGGCTGATCATAGCATCGTTAGCATTAGTGTGGTCTCTGTTACTTTGGTATATACGTACCCTCCTTCGGGGATAATTCCCGCTCGCTCGTCTGCAGCTTCAGCCCCTTGAGCTTCTCCCCCAGCTTGCCTCCACTGCTGGGTGATACCGGCGTTGCAGGCCCCATGGGATAATGCGGATCCGGGTGACTCTGCCCAATAACCTTGGGTCCGTCAGGAGACAGTGATACGCCAAAGTTCGACTCGATCCATTCCTTCTCCTGCAGCGCCATGTGCAGCGCAATACCCTCGGCGTTGTTCAGACATTCGTCCCGGATCTCCTTTTCCAACACCTGCAGCCGCTTCTTCGCCCATATTGTGTGTAGAACGCCTTTCTTGCCCGCTGAGCGACCATCAGCACCTAGCTCTGGAGGAAATATCGCCGGCAGCGGATTCAATTGCATGGGTTCGGGGTTCTTGGCGGACGGAGGGGCGTTAGCCGGGGGCTCGTATGACAGGGTGACGGTGGGAGGAATGGTAACGTGTGGCGGCAGTAGAAAGTACATTCGACGGGTGTTGTCGCTCGTCTTTTCGTCTGCAGGAAGGACAGCAGTTTTACCCTCCCAGGCAACATGCCAGGAACCCCCGGGGAAGGAGGAGGAGCGGGCTAAGGCGTCGTCCTCCCATTCGATCATCATGATTTTGGTGCCATCGTTGGCCTTGCCCGCCTCGAACTCGAAGCGGGCCAAAGCGGTGATAGTAATGGGACCCGTGGAGAAGCGGTGGGAGTCGAGGGCAGCAAAGTCACTGTTTGGGGTGAAAGGCGTAGGGAGCGAGTGAGCCATGGCAGGAGGGCGGTCAGGCGGATAGATTAGGGGGGGAGGAAGGGGTTAAGGGAAGAGGGAAAAGAGACAGGAAGGTCGAGGGGATTTCGGATATCAGGAAGAGGAGGAGATGGAGCAAGTAGCGCAAGACACTAGCAGATAAGATGGCCGAAGATGCATGGAGGAATTGGAGGCGCTGGAGGTTGGGAGGAAACGGCGCGCGCAGATCACGGGATGGGCGGCGGAGACAGAATAAGAGGGGATCACCGCATCAGGCAATTTGATGCATAACAAATGATTATATTAATCAATATTAATAGTGTCGGGAAGTCCACTGTCACCGAGGAGATAAGCTTCTTCCTCGAAAGCCAGTTGAATGGTCGAGATGAGAGATGGGAAGAGACAGAGAGAAAGAGAAAAGAAAGAAGAGTAAGAAAGAGTCAAGTGAGAAGGAGATGGAGAAAAAGAGACGAGAGGGGCATCCAACAGCAGCACTTCTTCTGCGCTTCTTCGCCTTCTTCTGCTGCTTCTTCTCTCGCCGCTTCTAAATATAGCCTCTTGGCATCACACCGCATCGGTCAGCATCTTTCACTCTCTCGGCCAGTCTTTCTCTCTGTGTCTTTCTCCGTCTCTCTCTCGCCTCTTATGGTCTCACTTCCAGAACCCCAAAGAATCCCCGCCAACCACGGTTGGCTCCGTCAGGTGTTCCCCTCATCGGCCGAATCCACGGTTCGGCTGCCCGTCAGCCTGCCAGCTCTCCGGTGGTTCCAACACACACCAGATCCCATGGATGATTAGCAAGCCAACGATGATGTCAACCTCAATAACTAGACAAGGGAATAATCACAGGCATAACAAACCTGTCTAGCACTACCGAACAAGTTGCTAGGAATAATGTGCGGACACTGGTCTAGATGTAGTCCCTCATTGCCGCCGTGATGGTGGCACAGTGGCTATTAGACGCCTATCACCACCACCACAGCACCAACAGTCACTTCACCCTCCGCACTTGTCTCTATTTCTTTCTTTCTTTCTTGTTTGTTTGTTTTTCTCTGTCTCCCTCCATGTCTTGTAAAACCACTCGTACCAAACCGTACCATACCCAAGCGCTGGATCACCACAGGGGCGACAATACGCGGGGTCGAGTCACCATTCCTTGGACAGCAGCTGTTGTTATCGCCCCATGACCCGCCCACTGAGTGATGAAGAACAGTCGTCATGCAGGGGAATGCGCTTAAGGTTGTATAAGAACTCTGACAGCCACGCAGCATCGTTGCTATATTTGTCCAGACGCCATGGCTCTATCACCACTGGAGGCCACTCCGGGACATTGATTGGCTGACAGGGCAGCATCAAGGAGGGGAGCGTCGTCAATTCAGTGCTCCAGCGAGCGGGAATCATGCATCCTCTGTCACAGAGGCGGCATAACCTAGTTAACCGCTGGAAATCTGGTTTAGTTAGGTAGGTAGACGACGAACTAACTGACTAAGTTCATGGTGCCAGATGGATACCCCTCGTGAAGATGGGACGACTATGCAAGAATCAGTATCTGATTTGACAGGACACTTTTTCTTCTTGCCTGTGGACAACCTACTAGTACCACTCCTGGCTAAGATTCTGCAATAGATGTGCGGAGAAGCTACTGGACTGGACAATACTGGAGGATCTCAGCCAGTCAAATCAAGCCTCTCAGGAACGGCTCCGAGGGGCAATTCGGACGGAGTGAGGGGCTTGGCTATGTCCACACACTCAACTTGAACTCAACTCATACCGGGTGGTAGTTATACTGGTTTCAGAAGGAAGACGACATGTAAATAGCAGGAAAGTCCATCTCTATCATCAACTTCATTCTGGATGCTCAACAATACATATATCCATCCGCATCCGTTGTATCCAAACACCCGCCGTGCTCGTTACCAAAAATATCCCCATGAGTTCCCAGAAATAGCAATACATAAGCACCGAGCAGGGTACACCTGCACCAGGACCCCGAGTCCAATCAGATTGGTAAGGGCTAGGACTAATCCACTAGACCCTGGAGTTACCAGAAATAACTTCCCTGCTATGATGAAAATAGAAACACCCCCTCCCGACACTTGTTTGCACGCGAGAACTTGATCCCGTCTCTCTGTCGGCGCTTAATAGACAGCCTGTGATTGAACGAGGGCAAGGGAGTATCCACTGCATCTGACCTACCATCTATCCGGAATCCAGCGCCATCTCCTTCTAGCAGGAAAACCGGCCAACTGATCGACCAGGAAAGGAAGGGTTCAGAAGCGCCAGGATTGGGTCGAGTGGAAGGGGGGGACGGCATGACTAGGGAGTCTCTACTTTAGCGCCGAGAGTAATCATAGTGCCGGCCCCTCGTTACTTTTCTTGGGAAGCATGCAATGACGGACTGACTAAGGACTGACTGAAGGAGGGGAGATCCTCCGAGCGGCTGAGATCCCGGCGGCAAAATGAGTGGGCGTTGAGATGTGATGAGATGGTGTCCAGGTGCATTAGGTTTGGTGATGGGATTGCCGTGTGTGCAAGTAAGCCGATGACATAACCGCTGAGTGACCAGAAGATTCTTGGTCTTTCCCAATCAGACCTGGATTTAGTAGAGGGGACAGAGTGCTAGAGAGAGAGAATCATCCAAAAATAGGACAACCATTCCTCTACCTGCAGTGTCGTGTCTACTACTGTCTACTAGTGAGTAAGTAGTATTTACTATCCATTGACAATCCACACGTCATCCCCATCCCCCACACATCCCTCTTAGTCCCTCCCACCAATCACACGAACAAATTGAAGAGGGGAAGATCCACTGCGGCCCCATCGGGCTTAGTGCCGGCGCTTAACTGCAGCGGCCACTTTATATTTGTATCAAATCAATGAAGAGAGAAGACTCTGCTGGCTGGACGCGGACGCGCCGGAGGTGTGTCTGTGTCTTGTCTGTGTCTATACGGTCTGTGCAATGCAGTGACTACAACTATTACTTCCTCCCAAGTAAAGAGTAGCCATAGGAAAGAGTTATGAGGCTGAAGCACACTTGACTTACAGTTACAGTGTACTACTACTACTATCCCCCTCTATTGCCACAAACAATACTACTACTACTCACTCTCAGCTCCCATCTTCAATTCCACTACCCTATAATCTCACAACTACCAGGGTATAATCCCCCTAAACCCCCAAATACCCAACCCAATCAATCTAGAAGCAATTCGAACACCCCCTAGACCAAAGTAAATACCGACCCTATACCTAGAAAGTAATCACCTCCGTCCATCACTTACCCCCCCATCCCAGTCCCCCACCACTCAAGCTAACCAATCACCCCGACCCGCAATTCTTCAGCAACAAGATGAAACAAAGAGCGCGCCTTGTCACCCAATCATGGGCCGCTATGCACCCGTCCTAGATCACAGCTTGGCCGTTCACATTGCTGTGATTCGTTAGGGATAAGCGATGGATGGACACTAGGAGTACTTGCTTTGAGATTGATTACTGTGTTAGGAGAGGAGAGTAGTAGGGTTGTCGCCAGGAGAGAGTAAGTACTAAGTAGGGGCTATGCTTTGGTATGGTATGGTGTGGTATTGATACGGTGGGTGGTGTTGCGTTACGTAGGGCTTGTTTCGGGGGTTTGTTACTGTGTATTTTATTCTGTCTGTGTTGAAATCGGTTACTTCTACGGAGTACATATGTCTACATCTATCCCTTTGAACTAGTATTACTGCTATTCTACTAATGATAATATATACAAAGACTACTGAATCTTTCTACTCACTGAGAACCACATAGTCACCCCTATCCTTCCACACATACACATATACCTCATTTCTAAGTCAGCTACTACTACTACCTACACCATCCACATATTACATACTACTTATATATCCAACAAACCCCCTCTACAACACACAAGCCAAATTACATTCCTCTCAAAACTATCCTCCCAACGTCCCAAACCCACCGCGCGCCTGTCCATGCCTGTCCATCTATTCCCAGCGAGTCACCAACCACTACCCTTTCTCACCGCGCCAAACCCTCTTAGCCCAAAGCCTAACCACAATACTAACTAGTGGTTCGTAGTAGTTAGTAGTAACTCTCCGACTCTCCGACCAACAAACCCAACTCACACCAATCATCCCCGTTACCACATTCCCGGGTTACTACCAAAAGGCCCAACCAACCCAGTAGCCCAATCCCGATGGGATAAGATTAGAGCTAGGAGGACAAGGGGAAAAAAATTTCAATGCGGCGCAGCACCGCGCATCTCAGCCTTCCTATCAGCGGACGTGCGTGTATTTTTTAGTGGAGCTTTCGCTTATTGATTGATCAATTCGATTCCTGGGTGGGTATATTGGGTGGTTCTCGTTTACACGTGGAGGATTTGGAGGGGTTAGTTAGCTACTTACTAGTGAGTTGATTGAATAGGAGAGAGGGGGTGGGAGGGGGGTTGTTGGGTTGCTTCTTTGTCTGTGCGTTTTATGTGTGTATACATCATTTATCATTCTTCTCAGTTGTAGAGTACTAAGTTAGTGGGATAGATGATTTGGGGCTGGAATGGGATTGGAATGAGAGGTGAAGGAGGGGTCGGGCTCGATTGATTGATTCGTGTGAGGCTCTGGCCAGAAGCGCGATAATCTGGAATCTGGATTAGTAGTAGTTAGGGAAATGGATATTGGAATCGATGGATATCAATAGCGGGGGATCATAGTACTCCGTAATAGTAGTGATAGTGTAGTGGTCGAGCCTCTGCTGGGCGTATATACCCTGCCTAGTATATTGCCAACGCATACAATTAACCAACCCTGCAAGGACTAGTCTACCATCCTCTACTTACTTACCTACTAGTAATGCTACATCAGCCTACTGATCGATCACATGGAAGAAGTAGAAGAGAAAGAGGGAATGAATTTCAAATCGCACTGCTTGCTCCGATACTGAATTCCAATGAAATAAAATCTCGCTTGCTTCTTCCCTCCCGCCTCCTAACTCCTAACGCCGGACCCTGCGCTAGTACCATGACCATAAAAAAGGAAAACCAAATAGAGGAATCATGATTCGAACTAAGTTCCTGCTTAGGAATCCTCATCCTCCTCCTGCTTGGTCTCATTATGCTTTCTCCGCTTCCCCTTGGGCGGATCCTCAAGTTGCGTCCGCTTATACGTCACCGTGTGAGTGACAACATGACGCACGCTGACTCTCCCCACCGTCGCACTCCGAGGGCCATCCCAGTAGCGCATCTTCCAATCGGCCGGGGAGTAGGTGTAAGAGTACGGTGATAGGACGGGCGTCGTCGCACTGCGCGGCGTCTCCAACGTAGGTGAGTACCGCATTGGCGGCGGGATGCGCAAGCGGCGCAGACTCATCATGTCACGACTGTGCGGTGCACTTCCATAGGGAGATGGAGGGGGTAATGTTGCTGTAGCTGGCCTGGTTGGTTCGGGGAAGCTGAACGAACCACTGACTGCGCTGGCTGGTTGGGATGTGGGGGTCTTGTTGGCCTTGTCCCAGACGAAGCGGGTGACGGTACCTCCGTTGCCATCGGGAGTGAAGACAGGTGTGAATGATTTCAGGAACTCGGTATATGCGGCGGGAGGTGTGATAGGTGTTGAGAGACTCTCATCTTGTTGCTTTCCTGGAGCACCTAGTCGGACTCCATTGTCTGGTTGGAGTTCCGAGGGGAACGTCATGTTCTTGGGCGTCCGCAACGGATGGAGGATTGGTTTGGCGGGCATGTTGACTGTAGATCTCAGGTGGTGTGTATGAGAAGATTGCACGAGGTCAACTGTTCATATATGACACGTCCACAGCAGATGACTGTTGAATCACAAGGTCGCGCCTGAGTTGGTCACGTTGTGCGTGGCAGTAGAAGAGAAGCGTGGTATAGTATAGTAGAGGGAGGATAAGAGGCAGCGGCAGGCCTGAGGCAGCAAGGGACTTGGAGGTAGGGCAGGTATAGTCCACCAAGATAACAGCAAGCACGAAGCTATATAGTAAGGACAGATGAAGGACCCTTCTGCTGCTCTAGCGCGCAAGAGAAAAGGGAGAGAAAAAGTAGAGGGAGGGAAGTGGAGGAAGATTATTTATCTCGAGTTGACGCCGACGCAAAGGCAGACGGATTTCCTGTACGGTACGTGTATTGCTGTCTGACACGGTAAGATTACCAGACAGTAAGATACCGTGTGACACGCTAATCCGCAAGCAGGCTAGACGCTCAGCTCCTTTCAGCGACTCGGCGCCAAAGCCTCGCCTTCTCTCCAAAAGCACCGAGTCGGATGGTGGCGATCTTTGGCCGCCAGGAGCACGGCAGAGCTGAGGGTGTGTGGAGTGTCAGGATGCGGAAGAGGGGATCGGGTAAGGCGCTTGCCGTGCCTCTGCTTGTCCCGGAGTGATCAATGTGAAGGAGGAGAGCGAGAAAGGAAGAGTGATGTGCTGCTGCTGTCTCGATGGATACTGAACTGCGTCTCCTTGCTCCTTCTTATACCTTCGCTCGAGGATATAGCATCGCTGGATCTCTCCATCCGCGGCGGGGATTTCCAACAATCCATCCAACAAGCCGCAAATCCTCTAGGAAGTTTCGCGCCTCGTTCCTCGAGTCACAGTCTCCGTTACCCTGTCAATGTTCCTAAACGCAAATGCATCCTGCATATACAACATGCCCTTATCGCCGGGACGGCGCTCAAGTCATGACTCCTCACGATCTCTCCGGATCGATATGCGTTGGCCCCTCCTGGTTCGCTCAGCGTTAACGCGCAAGCCCACCTTCCGGCAAGAGGGCGGCTCGCCCATCCGCAACCCCAACTTCTGCACGAGCCACGGCTTCAGGACACCTATTGCGTGCCGTGGTTAGCGCTGCTTCTTGGATCCTTCAATTGCATTGTTACTCTACTCTGGCCGCTGGGCCAATCTACCGATGCTGCTTGTTTCTCTACCTTATTTTGTCGGCACTTAATCTATCGGGCGGCTGCAAGTCATGTTGGCGTCTTCACGTCTCTTCACCCTTCTGCGAATCAGCGGGTCGATCCGACTGGGAGAGGGCCCGCGTTGCCATGGGATAGCGGGTTGCAGGCGCGGGGTTTGTGACTGATCTCGACTTTGCCTGCAATGTTGCTACTACCACACCTTGGCGTTCCTGCGGCCATGTCACACCAGCACTTGCAGAACCTGGCTTGCAATCGATACGATCGGTTGGCTACGGGTAGCTGATGCACATGGCTGCGTGTGAACCCCTCATCATGTTGAGACGCCCTGTGCATCCAACGGCGCGGGATTGTAGTAACTGCATTGCAAGCTGGCCTAGAAGCGGCACGATATGCCGGTAGCCAACACGTTGGTTGTATGGTACATTTCTTACGATGGACTGTTGTGCTGTGTCTACTCTACAGGACGGTGAAGGATCCGCTTTCAGTTGAGAGAAAGTCGTGCTGTTGGTTGCATGGGCAAACGAACAGTATACTAATCGCTAACAGCGCCAGAGCTTGGGCTCAACACTTCATGTCGGTGCAAAGTAACGCTGCACTGGGATCATAGCACAGAAGCGCCCATCATGCTCTCGGTTACGCCACAGCGTCTCTGCTTTTCTGATTTCCGTGGGCTATAGTGTCACACTCAAGTGCCCGCATGGTAAGATTGCAGAAAAGCATTCACATGGGGTTCACTCAGGTTGTAGTTATCATCCACGGCGCTTGCTTCATGTCCCGCAATAACTGGGAAGTTGACAGCCTGTCAGACACTTACAGAGATTTCCACGCCAATCCATTCCCTCCACCTGCCATTGATCCATCGGAGGGGTTGTGGGCTTACCATTGACTAGTACCAACTGTGCTGCGGATGCTCCTTCACAAACTAATCATCAAGGTCCACCGCATCTGCGATGTAACATTCACTAACCACCATCAACACCAAGAAATCAAGTCAAAAGCGTACCACTTACGCCGCACCTCAGTCCTACAGCTCGCATTTTGTTAACCAACCCAACATGATCATATATCCCCAACCACGCCCAGTTCATATTCAAGTCAGATGGCAAGTAGATGACCAAGTCATGACATTATGCTCAACCGCATCACATGCGCACACCTCTTCGGCGCTGTGGCTAATCTGTCAGTACGTGGGGCATAAACCCAGATGTCTCACGCTGCACAGGGATCATAGCCGTCTGATACTCCACCAGGAGTGAGCGCTTTAGAGGTTAGAACAGTCGTCTCTTGATCTTTCCTAGTCGAACGTGAACCAGTACTTGATTGTTCGCTTCCCTCACTCACTCATGGCGATACGGCAGCAAGCAAGACAGCTATAATTCAGTTGATCATATCTTCATTGCAAGCAATAGCGCCATGCCAGTAATCATCTGCTCTCGCCCTCTCTAACCAGGGGTGCTTCTCAAGGCCAACAAGAAAGGCATACCATATTCCCTTGACTTTCTGCGGACTAATAACTTCCTTCCTATACTGCCAAATCGTGCACGCCGCCCTCACAGCTGGAGTCCCTAAGCACGCCCGGCTCCCGTAGCATTCGAACCCCGTGAATTGAACAGCCAACCTAACAGTAATAATAAGCCGGCTGAATGACACGACAGGATTGCCCCCATCCACAAATCTTATCTATCCATCCTCTCTAGACAAGTATACAAATCAAACTGCGTACACTGGACGACCAAGGAAAGAATTAATCAAATCAATCGCTCATCACTAAACCCCTACGCAGTTGGCACTCGTCCAAGAAAATCTGATATCAATATCAAATTTGCCCAAGAATGGGCTCTCCGTCAAGCTCTTCCTCGCGCAGATTGATGTTACTATAGTTCATACTTTTCCCGTGCCTTGCGTCTTTTGATGGAAGGTTTTACATGCTACTCGTAAGGCACTTAAGACAACAAAGATAGAAGGAACCCTCGTGCGCCTCTTGCAAAATTCCCAAGCATCTTCATGTCTCGCTAACTACTAGCACCCTAAGTCCAAGTTCTTCAACCTGCTACATGTCAATTGTTTTTGTTTTTCATCCCTACTACTATGTGTGCCCTGCGGAATATAGGGAACTTCGCTGGGCAGTACACGTCCCTGTTCTTAGATCCATCTCCAGCATTTGGATGGAGGAGGGTATGGGGATATCTTATGATCATGGACATGTTGACTTAATATAACCCATGTATTTACTAGTCCCTTATCTACAGGGAAGTAGCTCAATACTCAGCAAATCGTAAACCCGCATGTCTATCCAAGCCGTGACGGTCAGCTAGACCCTGTAATTGATCTTCGGATAGTACACCTTCTAGAACACAGCCTGGATAATATGTCAATAGTCTAGACGGGTAGGTGAGGCATCACAAGGTATATTACTTACCAAACCTATCCTCCCGACGCTCCCTCCATTCTCGAATCCGACTTCCCAATACTCTTATCGATATAGACTGTGTTAGGGAACTATGAGCAGGTAAATCACTGAGAGTATCAATAGCCTCAATCCGCTCCAGCATCTCCGCTGTACGGCTATAGTTCCCAATCCAGGCATCCCGAATAATGGTATCGAGCATAGGACGACCAGTATGTATATTCGGCAAGACCAAAGTACCATGCACGTCAACAGACAACTCAGGCTTGACACCATGTTCCATTTGATATATCAGCGAGCCCACGGCGAATATATCTGTTTTCTCGGATAAAGTCTGCGAGGGACCGTTGATCGGAAAAGCAAGACTTGGCTCACCGAAAGGGCGGGCGGCGCTAAAGTCAGAGAGGATAACATTATCATGTTCGTCCAGAAGGACATTATCTATCCGTATATCTGCATGGACAATGCCAAGCTTGTGGATATGGCAAAGCGCATCTGTGAGGTCGCGGTACCAGCGGATCCGATGGCGCTGGGGAGGGATTTTATGCTCGGATAGTGGGCGGTATTTGCGGAGATAGAGACCCTCTGGATAGAGGGTATCAATTGGTTCTATGATGTGGGGGTGCGGTTGTTTTTGGAGTAGTTGTAGGACAGTTCGTTCGTTTTGTAACTGGTTATACTGGGAGAGGGTGTTTGTGGCGTAGTGCAGTTGGGCGTGAGGAGAGGTGTTGTTTCCAGGTGGTTCAAATAACAAGGATGACTTGAGAACTATGTGATCATCCACTTTGTAGATATGAGCGGAAGATCCAACTTCTAAGAGTTCTAAGTCGGGTTGAGGGTGCAGCTGCAGAGTATACGTGTCGCAGCTCGATGTTGAGGTATCATCATCAGCTGGGTGGTTAGCCTCAAGATCGTCAGGTTGTTCAGGCTGAGGCGGGTGATATCCAATAGATAGCGGGAATAGATGAGATAAGAGGTCGAATGCACGATATCCAAGATACCCGAAGTAACGCAATGCAGTCAGTGCTGTCGAATGAATTCGCCAGAGATACGACAACATCCTGCAAGAGCCATTGACGAATGATTGTGAAGGTAATATAGAACGCACTGAACATGAAGCACCGACGTATCAGGGGATATTCTCAAACGAGCAATTTAGTCAGGGCATCTTGCCAAGTGATAGATCGTGCCAAGTGAAAGATAGAACATACAACAAGAGCCAGCCCATCAGGGGTGACGGCGATCCCTAACAAGTGCGAGTCACGTGCAACAATGTATGCTTGTCGGTGAGGCTCGCTGTCTTCGCCGCGAAAGTTATGATCATCCTGGATGGAGAGAAGTTGGACGCATGTTTTACCCTCGAACGGACGGGTAGGAGGCTGTCCATTTGCATGGTTTTTAAGTATGGTGGACTGCGTGAGCTGGCGGAACTGTCAAGAATTGGAATGGGTCAATCTGTGTAGCGACAAACGAAGCACATCAAATATCCTGCGGGACTCGAGGTAATATTTACTCATAAATGCAGGCCTATGACTGGATGTTCTGGGTATAAGGAGTGACAATTTTTGTTTTCGAACCGTGGGCATAATCTGATCATACAACTAACCAATCCCACCATAACTCAAAGATACAAGTAAACAGCAACACATGCAATCAATAAATCATACCAAACATGAGGACATCAACATATTATGGGTTTTCAAGATTTTGTCATGCAAAAACAACCAAACTCCTGCTCCATTGCGCCGGCCAAGGGGTATGGGATATGACTGTCTGCGCCTTGCGGTTATTCCCGCTCCACCTCATGAGAAAAGACATGGCATATCATCGCTTCCGGCCTGCAGATAGCGAGACAGCCGGGTATATCGTAGCGAAAGAATAAAACAGAGAGCCGAAAGTTCTGGTCCGGACTAATGATGTCTAAGGGGTTTCGGACTTTTGCCGGAAAAGTGAATAAACAAAACTGCTAGCAGGCAGAAGGAACCCTCAGGAAGGGGACCCAATGACGATGTCCAGTCGCGCGTTGCCTGTTCGAATCGTTCATGCTTGTCGCCCCGGCGGGACCAGATCCGCAATTCTCCAGGTTGGTTATGCAATGTTCAAGCCAGCTTGCTGATTGGATCCCTTCAAGGGATGTTAACAGATGCGGTATAAAATGCAACCAAGAAAACACAAAAAACTTGTTGAGCTTAAAGAAGAAGGTAGTCCCAGCCATTCTGCTGCATGATCTCGCGCCAGTGTAGGAATGGCTTTTTCATCTCCTTCGCACCCCATGGCACGAGGCCCTCCTTGGGAGACTCGGAGCCCTCAGCCTTCACAGGAGCGTCGGAGGATGAGGAGGCGGACGAGGACCGTCGCTCTTCGGGGGCAGAAGCAGATTCGACAGGTTCGACGGTCTCGACCGGCTCCATGGGTTGGATGGACTCATCAGACACACGCCATACCTCCTTCAGGACGCGGTACATGCGGCCAAAGCTACCCAGTTCGGCGTGCTCGCCAAGAGCAGCAGCTCGATCGGCGAGAACGGTGCGGAAGTGGCTATCAGGTCCTGAGTATGCTCCAGCGATCAGGATTGGCCAAACGAGCGAGCGGTCGAAGCCTTCGGGGCCCGAAGGGATGACGTAGAGAACATTGGCGACGGCGGCGACCAAATTGACGGTACTCGGTTGGTTTCGGTCAAACCCAGGAACCAGACTGCACAAGTAGATTCTTGCTGCGAGGCGGAAAGCGGCCGTGATGTTCTTGGTGAGAATCTCGGGAGAAAAGGCTCCGTTTGGTAGGAATGGGCTTTCGAGAGTCTGATTCACCGGTTCTGTGAATTCTAGTTGCTGCCCCAGAGCCGAGACATGCGAACACACGCCCATCTCATCGATCCTGCCGTCCCTCTTGAGTGCGTCCAGACAGGTGATCTCGGAAATCAGGTACATGACACGGTCGTCGCAGCCCATGAGCTCGCGGAGTCCCAGAGATGAACCGCTGAGGTGCTTGGCGCGGTAGGTGTGTGCGAATTCCGGAGTCTTGCCGTGCATGGTCGATCCTAGAATGTCAATCCACGAAGCCAGAGTCATGGTGAAGGGGGGTAGCATGTACGGGTTCCCGCAGGCGGGAATTGCCGTCGGAAGCCCAAGCCGATGCACAAGGTTTGAGGCAGCCTGGAAGTGCTCGAACCACGGAATATCCGGGAGGTAATCATCCGCCGGGCCCACGGAGCAGTGGAAGAAAATCATGGCTAGCGTCGCATCTAGGATCTCCTCGTGGTTGGTGTCTTCACCCAATGCCAGGCATAGTTGCGAAACAGCCTCGAAGCGATTGCGCATGATATCGTGGTCGATCTGTTCTCCGACGAGTCCTTCCGTGGTCTTGAGATGGATGGCGGCAACACTCAAACAGCAGTGGAGGTAGCACTTATTTGTCTCCAAGGCTTGCAGAATGGCCTGGGCTCGGAGATGTCCACGCTGATGTGCCTCCAAGACGGGAAAGATGATGCGCAAGACATTGTGAATGAAGTGGTCGAGGAGCGGCCGATCATGATCGCTAACTGGGATATTGGACTGGAGCATGGCGTACGTCTGGCCGATACTCTGCTCACAAAGCGCCGGGTCGATTCCAGGAAGGGCAGGCACTTGAGCGAAGTACTCGTCGTGGAACCAGTCTTCACTGGGAAATGTCGGAAGCGGGGCATTCAACTGCGGCGGAGCAAAGGTGCTGAAGGTCGAACTGCATGAGTCGTGGCGCAAGGGGACATCGTTCACAAAAGTCTGTCTTTCAGTCTTCACATCGATCTCATAGGGGTGGGTTGGGGCATAGATAGGTTGATTCATGGCCGGAGTGGGAAGGTGTGAAGCGAAGATGTCATACTGCTCCGGAAAGGCAGGGCGACCAAATTCATATTCCGGAGAGGTTGGGGAAGTCACAGCCATACTGCGACTACGAGCGGCGGGATCTAAGTGCAGCGCAATAGCCTGTCAGAGGGGGGAACGATCAGGTTCCGATAACCACGACATACCTGTCAGAGCACCATTGCGCTCATGCATCTTGGTCTGCTTGATCTTGTTCTTGATGCGTTCCTTCTGGATCCTCCGTTGCTCTGCGTTTCCCCACCAGATAGGGCGTTTGTATTCGCATTTCACACATAGGTTCACACAGGCTCCGCAGGAGGGATGCTTCTCGTCGCACTTCTTTCGGCGCAGGCGACATGTAAAGCAACCTAACGCAGGTAACAGGTGTTGGTTAGAGCCGACTAGGAGCCAAGTGGCTATCGAGACTATAACATACCAGAGCGAGATCGCTTGTGCAACTTGAGCTGGTTCTTGTCTGCAGACCCCGTGGAGATACCCTCACTAGCTGATGGCGACTGCGAGCACTCTTCGGACTTGATTGGCGAGATCCGGACGGGAGTAGACCTCTTCTTTGCTGCGGCAGGCATTTTGATGTCGAAATGTGATATCGTACTAAGCAGGAATATAAAAACACCGATAGATATGCAGGATAAAGTCGTCGAGAGAGACAGGACACAGTCGTCTGGCGAGCTGATGAATGGGTATCAGGAGTATTAAGGAGGGGGCAAAGCTGAACCGGCAGCCTTTGCTATCTAATTAAGTAGAAGAAGAAGAGAACGAAAGGCGCGGTGGCGGAGGATGAGGAGAGAGGGAGATAACAACGCTTGGTGACAGTGATTCCAGATTCGAGCATGAGAGCGGGGATTGAAGAAGCTTTAAAACGTGGGTTGAGCTCTGACAGACAGGCCATGATGTTACTATTTTAGATCCTCGCCGACAGCCGAGCGCAGGTCGAACAGGATCGGGGAAATTGTGGTGGTGGGAGAGCCGGCGAGGGATTGGCGGCGGGGGGAGGCAGAGAGAACGACAGCCAGCGAGATCCCTGGGAGCAGTGGGGATCCCTTCATGCACGGACAAGGAACTGCTAGTCAGCCTGGGCTAATTTTGGAGATTTGCGAGCACACTTTACACTTTTTTTTTTCGCGCTCTTCAACCTGGCGCGTATGCAGCCCATCCGCGCAACTGATTGGATGCTGCCGAGAGAGAGCACTATGCGGCTGGGGAATTGATTGGCATGGGAGCTATCGCAATTGCCTGCCCAAAGACCAATCTCGCACGGGAAAGATCGGTGGACGGGCTGAGGTTCGGCCTTGCTGTTTCTTTTTTTGGTCCCTCTGTCGCGATATCTTCTGTCTCTTGGGGGATCATCTGTACTACGATCGTCCGGTAAATCCTGGTGACCCAAGGAGTTGAGTATCACCTCGGAGTGCTGCACTCGGGTGCTACAGTGTTCCTGCAATGCTGCAGAAAGGCCTCACTCGTGGCTACAGAGACAATGACAATTGAGGAAAGGCTACCAGGAGTGAGTGGTACCCGTCGCGCAATTCGGGAGGTGGGAATGATAACCAAGTAACCCCGTCGGCCAATCGCAGGCCTCAGGCACGCAAGCAATGCATGATGGATGTACTCGGTCGTGGTACTACTTTGTAGTGGAAGTGACTTTCACCCGATCTGGAAAATGCATAATCAGTATCCACCAACTTAGTAGTTCCGCTGATGGAGGAGACAGAGGAGGAGAAGGACGACGACATTGGCGAGGGGAGTACAACCGTTGGGGAGAGTGGGGGGAGGAGAGCAAAAATGCCAGGCACATTGTCAACCCAACCGGCTAATGCGGACTGGCAGGAGTTGCTCGAGGGAGGTGGGATCTCAACCCTGTCTGGTGAACAAGGGTCTTGTGCCTTGAGTGCCAATCAGAGTGCCGGGCGGCAAGTGAGTGGTGGTGAGCTCGTCGAGAGTCAAAATGCGATGCGGGGATTCAGTTGTGCAAGTGGCAGTCCAGCACCTACAGTAGTCAACCGTAGCTAATTTAGCGCGGATGAGCCAAGCTTCCCTTACTGGACGGGGATTGGCCGCCCCCGACATGGTTGCTTGCAGAGCGGGAAACCCGCAGCCAACCGGGCTGCAGTGGGTCGGGCCTGAAGGGCCCCGTGCAACCAGTGATATCCCTCTGCCAAGATGTGACCAGATGCCGCTAACCTCGCGATCCAGGCCAAGACCCTGCTTGCCAGCATTTGGTTGGCTGTCTGCTTGGGTTTTTTTTAATTTTTTTTGTTATTATTTAACCGCCCAGAAGAATCATCCCCTCAATTCCCAGCGCTAAATGGGACTATTCTTATCGGCCTCTCTCAGTCTCTCTCTCTCTTTCTTGGTTTATCCACAACAAGCTTGCCATAATTAGCTTGTGGTCGGAATAATTAAGCAGGCCATGACTCGGTCCTGAACAGTCCCATGATCCGTGGTCCGCTCGAAGATCTGACAGCGGGACTAAAAGTGGAGAGCAATCATCAACTGGGGACTAAAAATTTAACTTTGGCTGCTTCTGCACCCACGCTCCCCAGTCACACTTCTTGTCACATTCGGCAACAAGTGTGCGATGTCTCTTGAATTCCCGCCCATTATGCCGCATCTATCAGAGACATCTTTCTTTTATTTTTGAGCATGCGTTGAATGAGTTCATAAGCACCCTGAATTTTCTCTGGCATGCTAGCCAGGATAGCTTCATACCCTCCTTGTATTGTACTTGACGCCCACCCTCCTCCATCTGACAGACTCGATCAGCACAGACCGAGTGGGCAGATGTCGGAAGCGAGTCACGGTCACCGACTCCCGTGCTAGCTTGATTATCACGATGCGCGCCTGCCATTTCTTATCACATTCCTGCAGCTGCAGGCTAGCATTTAGCGTCCCTTTGTCCCGGCCATCGAAGTCTCCCTCAACGAATCATAGCTCCCAGCCGTATAATCACTTGGCGCCGGCTTTTACGAGCGGCACGCCAATGATGGAGGACGTGCCACCCCCGTTGGAATCCCTCGAGTCGACTCGATGCTAGTACTAGTGCTTGTACCCCTCTATCCTAAATCTATGAGATCACCATCCCTTTCCTAACACCCAAATCAATGCATCTCCCCGGTCTACTGTCCACGTTCACACTAGGTGTGTGCTGCTCGACAATTTCTGTGCGCAATGTACTGCATCGCAAGCGCAGGAACTTGCGAACAGCGTCAATTCTCTGGCTGGTGTGCTTCCCCGATGCAGATCACTGCATGGTCGAAAAGCCAACCCAACCCCGGCAAGTCAGGTGCTTGCAGCGTGCCTGGCATGCAGTCTGTGCAGTTATCACACCGAGTCACCTGGGCTACGTCTGTCTCTTTCTCAGTTGGGTTAGTATATCCACTCACCGCGCTTTTCATGACTTCGGCAAATTATGGTCAATTCATCGAATATCTCCGAGAAGCAGTTATACACCGTTATTAATCTACTGTGTGCGATAGAATTAGTCGCTCTCTCCAGTGGGGTTCTACAACAATCTCCATGCTTGCTTTTCTCGGTTTTTGGCGTGACGCCAAACTGCCTGGATGTGTAGAGTTTCCTGTTTGGTAAATTTAGTCTCTAACTCAGTGCTGCTGCATGGCTTCGGTTCTATCTTGGCGATGGATCTTGCGAACCACCGCAGACCCGACTCTATTGATCTGTGCGAGGCGAATAGAGCGCAAACATGGTTGTCTTGGTGTTCTTGCTTGACAGACGCTTTCCTTGTTATGCAGTGGCTAACCTATACACTGGCACATCTCTGGCATTCAGTACCTGCCAAGTAGAGCATAAAGATAAACTGACTCATGGTATACAATCTGGAAGCTTTCCTAATTACTGGATCAGAAATCTGAATGGAATTAGATTTACTATTAGCCACATGTAAAGTAGAGTTTACAGTAAATTGCAGCATCTAAGCAATTAATTTATTGAAAATATCATTATGATGGAGATTCGTAGCCTAACTCTATGTGCGCATGTGAGGTAATCCCAGAGTGCTATGCACGCGCAAATTGCTTCAATCTCATTACACCTAGCAATGCTATCTTGTGAGTTGCATCATCAACCTTCTATTTCCTACTCTCATTTCTATGTGGTTCCATCTCACAAGATCCAAATCCTCTGTAGTTATCTCAATCGACATCTATTTCTAGCAACGAAGCATAAGACAATGTGGATCCTAACCATGATTCGACATTAGCTTCACCCACAATTATAGCAACATAAGTATAGATAGACCTACGCAAAATAGTAACCAATTACCCAGCAAACCACATCCCAAAAAGACCTGGCGGTTAAGTATGATCTAGTCGATCAACAAGCTAAACAAAGAAAGAACACCCCCATTACACTTCTACCGTCCAGCGGCCCGGATCCGATCCAGATCTCCAACCCATTTCCAGACGCAGTCTAGTAGTACTAGATACTTAACGGAGTATACCTCCCAAAATAGAAACCCAGGCATCTTCCAATCAGAATCTCACCAGTATCAGATCACACCTCGTCCAGTCAGTCAGATGTACATAGTAGCCGCCGTCCTCCCCCGTAGACCCTCCCCGGCGTCTAAATGAGGGGTAAGGTATCTAAGAATAACTTCACCCCATACTAGCAGTTAAAGATGCATGAAATCATACTATCGGATAAGCATCCTCGGGATAAACCTTCATCAATTAATAGTTCATTCTATTATCTTAATTTCCAGAAATAGCATGCATATCTGATGCCACTATTGCTTCAGCCTCGCTTGCCGAACTTTTCATCAGATCCACACCTTTGACGCTCTGCATGTAGCCGCTGGGATAATCATTGGTATTGGGTCTCTGGTAAGGCTGGACTTGCTACAAGAAACGTTGCACATAGATCAGCGGGCAGGATTGTGGCGAGATTCACTGGATTCCAGGCGCTGGGTGTGCCGGCTGGATGGGTCTTTGCCTATGTTGGACTGCTTCTTCTAAGAATAACAGTTGTGACTTGGTAGTGGTGGGTAGTCTGTATGATGTGTTTGTCAGATAGTGAAGGGAATGTTTCATCATTGGAGATTGTAGAGGTCACCATTGGTTATGAGTTTATTGTAAGTTCTACTGTCGAGTCGAAGCTACTGTTCCGGCCGTTGGATGTTAGTGCGTTCGGGTATTTGGGAAATGTGCTTGATGCTATTATTAACTTGGGTTAAGTTGGAGATATGGCTTGCAGATGGACTCTGGTGTAAGTAGCTTGGACTTGGCTTTTTCATTCTGGGTGGGGTTGGCTTTACCTGAGTTGAAGGTTCCCGCGGTCGATTGATGATCAGGCAGATTGAAGCAGATGCCATGAGTGATAGTTACTAAATATATATTATTGTAGATATGTAGGAATTTTTGCGATAGACTCAAAGTCATACTATTGGATATCGTTTATTGACCACTATGCTCGACTTCGTTGTCCGTTCGAACTAGTAGTAAGTTCATAGTGTTAAATGAATACTATATATCTCGGAGCCGGCTTCGGTGCTGCCTTGCAATGATGTCATCACAACAATGATAACATAGTTAATAGTTCTTCTGTTCTGGAAGCTCACAATGAGTTCACCACCATATTATCTCTCATTTAATACTCTATGACCCTCTATACACAATCAGGCGGTTCTGCAGGCGCATGCTGTGCCTCCGGAATCGCCCACCGCTCATTGGCCAGCGCCGAGTCCGATGCTTACCTATCGTATGCAGCTAAGGACACCTCCGACAGCGCAAAAATGCTGGCCTTTGTTTTCCCAGACCTCCAGCCATCGAAGCTGAATTCTCTTCTTCTTCAAATCCAGTCGCAAACCATGCGAAGCGGACTGTCATGTTTCGTCTCCCGATAGTGCGCGCGTTCTTCCGCGTATCGCCCCAGCCGGCCATAGCTTCCTCGCTCCTCCACTCTACCCGCATCCCCTCTCACATTCCTCGCTCCACACCTTTGACACGACGTCTGTCGTCAAGAACTCGTGGGACCACTTCACAGGCCTTCCTGCCCTCGAGACGCATTTCCGGTCAATCGCAGCTTCGGTCTTTCTCTGCGTCCGCCCGCAGCCGTGCGAGGTATAATCGATTCAATGAACCACAGTTTCCGAAACTCCAGGATGGCGAGCATTGGCAGGCCTGGCTCGCACTCATTGCCGTCGGAGGAAGCTTCTATGTCTATAACCTCGAGACTGTGGAGGTGCGTTGCTTCGCCTGCTTCATAGCCATGTGCTCTGTGCCAAGCTAATATTCTTCGTCCTATAGCTGACCGGCCGCACTCGATTCAACTGTGTATCGGACGACCTCGAGAGGCAAATGGGAGACAATGAATACCAACAACTCCTGAAAAGAGCCGAAGGAATGATCTTACCTCCGTCGCACTATATATCCGAAGAAGTGACCAGAGTTTTTGAGCGGCTGATCGCTCATACACCCGTACAAGGCACGAACTGGGAGGTGCACGTTATCAACGATATGTCGCAGCAGAACGCATTTGTCCTTCCGAAGTAAGGCATTTCGACTACCTCTGGAAAACATACATTACAATAATGTGATGGCTTGGCTGATGGATATATCCTACAGTGGAAAGGTCTTCGTGTATACTGGCATCTTGCCGGTTTGCGGAAATTCTGATGGTCTTGCGGCGGTGCTGGGCCATGAAATCGCTCATGTGCTGGCCCATCACCAAGCTGAACGGATGAGCCATTCTGTTCCTAGTGTCATTTTGACCTACGGGCTGGTATATCTGTTCGGCACCTTCGGACATTTCGCGTCTCAGATGTTGGACTGGTCTGTCAATCTGCCAAACACGCGGGTGCAGGAGGTAAGTGACTCACGGCATATGAATAAAATGAACATAAACTAACATGTCTACAAGGCTGAGGCAGACAATATCGGGCTGAGTATGACATGCTTGACATTCATGTTTAACTGTCCTACTAACCCCTGCTAGTGCTAATGGCCAAGGCTTGTTACAATCCCCGTGCTGTAGTTGACTTGTGAGTAAACAGTGTGGTAGTTGCACATATTCTCTTCATTCAAACTAACAAACACCCAGCTGGGACCACATGCACAAGTCTGAAAGAGTTCGTGTGCCTGAGTTTATGTCAACACATCCATCGGTAAGATAGCATTGCCACATCCATCATTAGACAACACAACTGACGACAGAAAAGGCATTCAACCGAATGCAATCCATGAGCGAAAGGTAAATATCAATCTGTTTGATTCTACCCCCAGCCACGCTAACCAAATCACAGGCTCTACAGAGCTGAAGCCCTCTATGAAAACAGCGGATGCCATATGGTCAGAGGTAACAGTAAGCGCCAGCAAACACCCATCCACTGGAAGATACAGCAGACTAACAACCCTCCTATCCCAGTTCCTGAATTTACCGACGCAATCGACCATTACGCAGGCCCTCAGGGAAGAGGCCCTG